ATATGTTTTGCTCAATACCTTCTAAACTACTGGTCGAATAGTTTTTTTTTCAAAATATTCGTCCCAATGTCCTTCATCGAGATCAATCAAAACATGGATAGCCGTGCATACAAAATTATCGAAATATTCGCATTTTTTAAATTTTTTCATCTCAGAGTTGATTTAACATTTCGCAATACACGTAGAAGTTGGAAAAAGAATTCAAAATTTAAAGTAACAGTTAAGACTATTGAATCACATTTGTGTATGAAATTTTGGGTTGATCGATTCAATACATTTTGGCATAGAGCAATTTAGCTGAAAATAGTTTTTGTCAAAAAATGAAACATCGTCATTCTATCAATTATTTTCGAATCTGTGTGTCTTAAGGAGAGACTACTATGGGTTTTAAAAGTCGGGGGTTATTGGAATGAGATTTTTCACACATTGACGATCGATTATATGTGTCTCAAAATTAATAATTAGTGCGAAAAAAATGATTGTTTATTGGTCGTTTGCCATGCAGAGGCTTAAAATATTAAAAATAGTCCAACTTTTTTTTAAACTCGACTTCCACCCAGCTAATCTTATTTTTTTTCCAATAAATAATTGCACCATTTATGTAAAATAGCCCAAAAAATATTTCTGAAAGAATGGAGAATATATTCAAAATATTTTAAGGGGAGACCGTGGTGAAATTTAAAAGTCCCTGGATTTTGATGAGACTTAGATTAAAGCTTTTGATACTTATTGAGGGTCGATAAAAAGTAATATTGAAGCCGCTACCGGAGATTTTCGCCACGTAGAAGGGGTCAAAACGAATGAAAAACGGTTTGAACTTTCAAAACGGTTCAAATGCTCCTTTTTTCAATCGATTCAGCTCAAATTTGGTATACATATAGTTTTTATAGATCCAAGTATAGCATGGATTTTTCAAAGTATGGTTTTTTAGTATATATCTGAATTTTTTTCTCCCTCGTGATATACCCGAAAATCATGAAATATGTCAAATACTCATTTACACATAGTCTCTTTGAAGTACAATTTTTTTTAGATTTTTATATCAAGTCCTGCCACATCTCGAGCTCTCCAGTTTCCTGAAAAGAAAAATAGTATTAGAAATATGGATTTAATCTGTCAGAAATTATTCAGTATTCCATTTTACAATTTTATTTTCGATATCATGAAAGGTTGAATTATTTTACCATTTTAGAATGCTCCAGCTTTGTATAATGGTCCTCTTTTCCTCTGCTGTTTTGACACTTCAGCGGCTCATTGCTTACGTTCTGTTTTCTTCGTGAATTTCTTGGAAGTGGTTATCTGTTGATTTGCACTACATGATACTCTCCTATCGCCTTGTTGACGAAAAATTTTCTTTGAGTAAGAACTGAGTTTTATTTTCTGAATGGTAGCTCTTAGTTGCTAAGAATGAAGAAAACCCATGTTGAATCTAGCAACTCCAATCGTTACCGAAATTCGCAGTGAACACATGCGTCGAACAATTTCTCCATATGACGGAATGTAGAGACTCATTAGCGTTTTGTGTTCTTACTCTCGTACATCCTGGAAGGAGTTCGTCACAAGACAATCGTGTATACAGTGGCTGAATAGCCTTGCCAAGGTCTAGATTCTACTTGACCGACATCTGCTTGTGATTCCCATGTGGTTGTTGTCGCGTTCTGCGTTTATTGAAAAAACACCATGAATTCTCAACTTTGGGGCAGTCTTCATGGTTAGGCTTCCCATCAGTTAATGAGTAATATTTTAGTGTCACAAAAATACCTTTCCTCACAGCACCAATGTCTGACCGATTGGCAAAGATTGCATTCCTTTAGAAATTTCCAAGAGCTGTTATAGTGAGCGCCGTCAACGCCCCTGTGCCCCGCCCCCCGCTCTAAATTAGTCCCTCCTTTCTTCGAATCTTTACATAAATTAGTGAGTCCTGTAACTACACGTTTAGCAACATGGTTAATGCACTCCTCCTTGATGATATCAGTCGTTCCATAAGGATTCAGTTTTTTCAGATGACTGAAAGTGTTAGAGGCACCGTTGGACAACATAACTTTATAGCGGAACTTTACTTCCTCAACGGATCGAAGCCACAGTCTTTCCATTGCCGTAACTTCCATCGATCCCGAAGAACCCTGATAGTTGACACTATACTCATTATATTTTCGGTGATCCTTCTGCATGAATGCAAACTCAAGCATGTCAGCACCAAGTTCATCCTCAAAAATTATACAAAGATGACAATATTTCGACAAAATTTTGAAATCTACTACCAACCCTGTGAGGATATCTATCACGATACCTATCCCGTACAGTGAGGTATGGCCTCGCTCATGCCATGGACCATAGCATAACGCCGATATCTACCACCGAGTCCTCCTTCAATGTTGAATCCAACGCCATGTGAGCTCGTTGCTCTGCTGAACGCGATTCAGAGAGAAGCCTTTGCTTGAGAATTGCATACTCTTTATCGAATTGAGGTATGTGATTTCTGTAAGCAGATTCTTACATCTGCCGGCACACGGCGTCTTGCGCCATATGCCGGTTCAAATTTTCCGCCAGCGCAAGGCTGCTGTGTATTTACACATTTACTATGTGATTCATTTTGAGCATTTTCTTTTTCCAATTTTGAACATTGATTGTTGTTCTTTATTATTTTTTGACATTACCTTTTCGGGAATATGGTTCATAAAATTCCAAATTTAATTGAAAAGTCAAGTGAATTCCAAATTTTTGAGTACACTGAGAAAAAAAATTTCTCATATCTGAAACATATTTTCTTCAGAGAAGTAAATTATTTTCAATGGCTTAAATCTCAGAATGTGTTCACTTCACGGAACTCGAATAAATTTTCATTCATCACTATGGTTCCGCGTTACGTCATGAATATTTTACATATTGCAATATTGGGAGTGCATAACGAAAAAATCATGAAAACAATAATGACTAGAAGATTGACGATTCTTCTACGCGATTTAAGTAAGTTCATTTGCGACAAAATCATACTTGAGTATAAGAATATTTTAAAGCATCAGGCTGTTCTCGCGTAATGTGAATTGAGATGCCTGAGAGAATTAAGCAATTGAAGAAAATTTACTTGTCTCAGGAAAATATGTTTCAGATATTAGAAATTTTTTTTCTCAGTGTAGCAATCAAACCACAATTCCACAAATAACTTATATTTGCAATTGAATCCGAATATTTAGAATTACATTAGAATGGTTTTCCAATCAATTTGGAATTTCAGAATAAATTAGTCCGAATTTTCATGATGCCTACTAATTTTTACCAAATAATTGAATTGAAATTTACATTTCGCATAGATATTTTTCATCAAATTGTGAGTTTTCAATCATGGGATTGCTTCAAATTTTACTCGACTGGAACTGTCACTTGTTGAAACTTTCTACGGTGTGCACCGGAAATCCCAACAAATATTTATATTCCAAGGATATTGACTGCAGAGCGCCGTATTTAGGCTAAGCAACTGTTTCCTTTCCGAAATTTTCTTTAAGCTCTGCATTTTTTTGTTCTTTGAAATAGTTCACTCCGAATGGCCAATATACAATGCTCCAAAATTATCGACTATTTACCTCAAACATCCATAGAAAAACTGTGCCAAATTTTGCAGAGTAAAATTAAACAAAAGATTTATTGACCGTGGATAAATTAATGATGAAAGGTTGTTGTTTTGTGGCCTTGCGGTCTCCAATAAATAAACAGCATCAATTAATCATGTTGTGAAACCAGTCGACGTTTCGGTCTCATTCAAGACCCTTATCAGGACTTCCCTCTCTTATTAATCTGTCACTAACAACAAAAGCCGAATTACAATCAATATCAAATCAAGTCAATAAATAAATAAATTTGTTAAACTCACTGATGCAGTCGAAATAAAATAGCGCCCCAACACAAACGTTGAGGTTAGTAGCAATAGATAAGAAGTTTCTAATCATCGTAACCCAAAAAAACATGAAAATAATCCAATGACTCAATCTCAATTAAATATGACTTCATGAACTGGGCTTTCTCCAGCCTCAAGTATTGTCAGCTGGTAGCAAATTAATAATAAAAATAACAAAACATTGCGCAGAAATAACACGTCAGGATATACTACAGTCTCAGCATGATGACCCAATATCAAGGCCCCCGAAATTCCCTAGATCCGACATCACTAGAAAAATCCTGGATCAAAATCCCTAGAGAAGTCTCTAGATCAAATATCCCCAGAAATCCCAGAATATTAAAACTAGCCAATCAGCCCGCTATAAACATTGCTGAGGTGGTCAATATCAGATCTAAAATTGACACTGCTCCTGTTCCTGGTAATGTTGATCATTTCAAGCAAATTCCGTTTGTATAAATTCTTCTCTTGTCCCAAGAACTTTGCCCTATCAAACTCGAACCGATGACCACTTTTTATGGAATGGACCGTCAGAGCAGTGTGTTTATCAACCGCTGCGTTGAAATTCCTCTTGTGTTCTTTTACCCGTGTACCAAGGGCCCTTTTTGTTTGCCCAATGTAAACCCCGGAGCATCCTGAACATGGTATTGAGTAAACACAATTGGTCTTCTTCATTGTGTCCACGCTATCTTTAGTTGTTCTTATGAAATCTCCTAGTTTATAACTATTCGAAGAGACCAGTCTCAAGTCAAATTTCTTGCACAATCTGGCCAAGTTCTGACTTAACCCTTCAGCATATGGCAATACTGAACTCTTCATACGATGGTGGCTGTTGATAATTGCAGCATCCGCTGCCCCAAATTTCTTAGATTTCTTAGATATTCTCCAGATGCTTCAATCGAACCGTCACCCAATAGGTCACAAACTTCATTGGATAATCATTCTGCATTAGTGTGGAGATAATTAAATCCAAATTCTTGTGGAGGTATTCCTGCTGACCAAGCTTCCATGCCCGGTCCACCAACATGAATACCACACCTCTTTTTTGTGATGTCGGATGATGCGAGAAATAGTTGATATATCTCCCCGACCATGTCGGTTTCCTATACTAATCAGTTCTTATTTGGTTCCCCTGACGTATCAAAAGAACATTTAGGAACGGAATCTTTCCATCCACCTCCATTTCACGAGTGAACTTCAACCTTTCATGCTGACGGTTGAAAATATCAACCACTTCCTGGACCTTATCTTCCGGTACCGCCGTAATGATGTCGTCCACGTACCTCTTGTAAAATGGAATGGAAAAACTCAACTCTCCAAGGCATGTGAACTCAAGATCCTGCATAACAACCTCCGCCAGTGTTGGTGCTAATGGGAAGGCCATGGGAAGTCCGTGCACTTGCTTCCAATATTCATTGCCTGCAGAGAAACTTGTTGATTCCATTACAAATTGTACCGCGCCAATGAGATCATCAATAGGCATTTTAAGATCCATCGTTTCTTCCCTCCTTCTTAATCCTCTTTTTACTAGTGGAAGTGGTACCTTAGTAAACAAAGCCGACACATGCAGCGATATCAGTTTATAACCATCAGGTATCTCAACGTCTCGAATATATTCACTAAATTCAAAACTGTCCTTGACACTGGAGAAAAAATCCCGATTGCTCACATTGATCACTGAGTGCAAGTAAGATGCCAGGTTGTAGGTCGGCCCATTAATCGATCACACTATAGGTCGGAATGCCATTTCCTTCTTGTGGATCTTTGGAAGAGCATGCATACGTGGGGTTGAAGAGTTACGCCCCTTTAACCAGTTCTCTGTTTGTTCAGAGATATGACCTCTCTGAAACCACTCCTCAACTAGCTTGTTGTTTTCCAGTTGCACCGATTTTGTTGGATCTTTCTTCAGGGGAAGATGAGTCGACGAGTCTGACAGTAAGGTTTGCAGAGTAAGTTAACTCATACTCAGAAGTTCTAAAAAAATGAGCAATAATTTTTAAGCATGAGTGGTGTTATTACTACTGGAAATTTTTTAACAGCTTATGAAAATGACCCGAGATAACACAATTTAGTCTTTTCACGATATGCAATACTCGCTCTAAATGGAATAATGAGGTAAAATAGACTATCGTTTTGAAACGGATCTGCTTCAACCCGTTATTCTATCTTATCCCACTATCCCATTTTACTCCACAGCCGAGTTAATCCGCCGTCCGATTCCCCTTGTTGTACTATTTAACCCCCGGCTGAAATTCGCCCAACGTTCCATCTGCCAAGCTGTTGCATTCTTTCTTACCTTTCCATTTACCCCACCCTCATATTTGCCAGGCTCACCTATTTTACCCCATTGTCTTATCAATTCGCGATTCAATATATGAAGAATTCGATTTTACCCGACTATCCCACTGAACAGCAGTATCCAATTTACTTGCCGCCCAATTTACGGTACTGGCTAATTAACCTGTCATTTAGTCCACGATTTATATCATTTTACCCCACGATCTAATTCTCCCATCACCCGATTACCACATTATCCCATCTTACTCCGTTGTCTAATTCTTTCCCCCCCCCCCCCCNCCCCCCCCAATTTATCCACTGTCCTATATTACTATTTGCTCCACTGTCTATTTAGTTAATAATTAATGAATCACTAATTAGTTTTGCGTAGTCCCTGATTCTCAGTCCCGAAAGTTCTAAATCCCGATCTTTCCATGAGCGACTCAGACAGTGGCGAAAAATCAGACAGCCACGAGTCTCTCACCAAAAATTCTCCGAGGTGCCCGACTGATTACGGAAGAGCCCGCCCGAATAAAATTTTTAATACTTTACTGCTTAGGCCTTAGTCTGCTGTGCCGTAGAAAAAAACTGGTAAAAAAAAGAAAAAAAATCACTCAGAGCGGAACTTAGACTCCGGACCCTTTAGTTAGTAGTTCTATACCCTTTTCAAATGACCAGCTGATTCAATTGAATACATACGATTGGATACCCCCCCCCCTTTTCCCTTCCTCCTCCTCTTCTCCCACCCTCACAGGGGAAGACATATAAGGACAACCCCCAGACATCGGAGCTCAGAATCGGAGCGCATAGCCCTGAAGATGCAGACTGCAATGTTTGCGAAACGTCGGCGCAATGCTGGAACCAAATGCGACATCCATCCGGCAGCCAATAATGTCATTAATAATGGCCGCGGAAGCCTCAAAACTAAGTTCTATACCCTGTCTAGTCGACCACCGTGTCATTCTTAAAAATGGTCATTTGTGAATAATATTCCCAATAAAATAATAGTATTGAACTAAATCTACAATAATATTAATTATTATCATTTTCCTGATAATCATCCGCGCTCCTCTCCGACCCTCCGCCTTTTTCCACTCCCATCGCACCTCTTTGCTTAATGATGCCGCGAGAAAATCCACGAGACAATACTTTGCAGAGCTGGTCTCAGTCTCAATGACAATGAAAATCTTTGGTCTCGTCTCAATCTCGAAATACCCACTACCGATTCCTCTCGGGATGATTCCAATTCAAGTTTTCTCATCTCGGTCTTAAAGTTTCGTATTTTTTCGTGTAAAATCTTCGCGCTTGTGTCGATTTTTCTCGTCTCGGTCTTCTACATATAGAAGTCCCGTACGACATACTTTATCCGGACCCAATCATCACCGGATCAGGTTCCGCATACTTCTAATAATTAGGTGAATGAATAATCACGTGAGTTTTTGACGGTTTTCATGTATTGGGTTACGAACTGCTTGTAACTTGTGAGGTAACTACGTGACGTTTTCATGAGTTTTTTGTACGTCGCAACCTATGCGGAACTGGTGACCATGTCAGTTACATCTGATTGGTAACTGATCATGAACCGACGAAATTTCTACTGGGGTCAATCTCTTGCACTCTTGGAGAGCTCCAAAAGACTGAAAATTTTTTCCATGGGAGATAAACTTTATAACAATTTAGTGACCTCCATAAACACATTGAGAAGAACAATTTCCCCGGTTTTCAACTGATGAATGGGATTTTGTTTATTCATTGACACCAGCAGCAATTAAAAATATAACCCTACCAGTAGGATAAATCATACAGCTTTAGGAATGAACGGACAGAAGGTGAAATTTCATGTCAATATTTCCGGTTCAACGTTCAGCAAGGCAGTACACCAAACGTGTTCTGTATCTCACGTATAAAACCACCTCGTAATACCGGGTCGTACGTGAGGTCAAAAACGACATTGTTGTTATCCATTCTCGCAGATAGAAAAGGCACGATATACGTGCGAAAACAGGTGCCATATAATCTAGCACATGGCAGGCGGGGGGGGGGGGGGGGGNGGGGGGGGGGGGGGGGGGGGGGATGGATGAGTATAGTAATATCGGGGGATCGGCTCATGTATGCATGGCATTTTAAAGTAACTTTCTTAATGTGTTGCACACCAACGGACACGTAGCTCCAGGGAAAACAGGTGTCGGGTAGAGTGATGCTCTACCCGATTTTTTATGATGCTTTTTTCGACCAAGTTTTGATAGTCAAAAGTAAAGTGGTAAGAACTTATCATGTAATCTCATGTTTTGGTTTGAAATAGTGTATTTTTCGTGATACAGAAGCAAATAGTTGATGAATTGAACAATGGATTGCTTTACTTCTAATGCGACAATAACCAGCGGCGAGAAATTCATTGACCATGCAAATGTCGATTTAGTGTAGGATGAGTTGGAATAGGTGTTACCGGTTGAAGCTCACACTAATAGATTTTTTTCAATTTTATCTTCAATTGAATAATTCATAACAATAGTCCAATAACTTCCATGCAAATACTTCTCTCAAATGACTGCAGAACTCCTGAGTCATTCTGAGTCTTCGAGATGAAAAAATTGAATCTTTTTAGGGTCGCAAATTCTCGCGTCGGCGTCTTCCAGAGAGTATGGTTCCTCGCCACTAGCCATACTTTTGAGAAACTGTCCGAGAGAGATAGTGCAAGACTGTCAACCGACAGCTATCGACCGGCTCTGGGTGAGAGCCTTCGCGTCTCCTACCCGAGTAGAAATTTTAGTCCTTGACTGGATAGGTCCGCTGTGCTGTAGTAAAGATTTGGCCCTGTCAAGGTTACTCCATCAGGGCCTGATAGGAAATGTACCGCAAAACATGATCAGGACCTAATTTCGAAACCTGATAAGGCCCATGATAGATGGCCACATTTCGCCCTTACTTGGTTAACAGACTTTATTGGTAATCAATATATTTCTGACTGTAAATGAATCAATTAGACATTTAATGCGAAATACATTAATAAATACCGGTTTTAGGACAAGCGGGTTGAAAAAAAAAAATCACTCAGAGTGGGTTGTAAACCCCGGACTCTTTCGTTGCTAGTTCTGGACTCCATCCACGCGGCGACCGTGTCATTCTTGAAAACAGTGATTTATTTCGTGTAAATCAACAATATTCCTAATTTTTGACACTGTTATACTAAATCTACGATATCATCGATGAGTACAATTCTCTTAATAATTACCCGCTCTCCCTTCCGCCTCACACCTCTTTTCCAATCCCGCTGCAACTCTTTGGTTGGCGAAAAATTTTCCATGTCCTATAGGCATGCCTTACCCAGACCTGATCATCGCCGGATTAGATCAGCCGTACTGAACTTATAGAATTCTGGAAATTAATGATTCACTGCATGCCTTACCCGGTCCTGATCATTGCCGGATCAGGTTAGCCGTATCTGGTATACTTAATGAGAACTCATGTTTAATTAAGACAGACTGAAAAAGGCCCTGAAATCGCCCTGATCAGACATGCCTGATCAGAATTTAATGGTTTTTTCAAATCGCGGTACACTTAGAAGGCTCTGACTTGAGCATGATTAGGCATGCCTGCTTCAACTTTGTAAATTTTGTTGGTAAAATGAACATGAAATGGTCCCTTTCAGGTTCTCATTTGCCATGCCATACCCAGGTATACCGTATTGATACCGGAGCAGGACCTTCCCTGGCCAAAGGTTTAACTGCCTAACCAAATTTCTACTCAGGTACATATTTAAATGATTAATTCATCATTAATATTTACTTAATTTCCATTTTTGGAAAATAATTAAATATATTAATGTAATTAATTCATGAATTCAACAACAATGGAAAAAAAAACAATTCCGTTCAGTGTTTGTCCAGATGTTCCCTCCTGACTCGCTGTATTTCCTTTCGGTCACCTATCCTTTTACTAGTCTACTTGACTCCTGCTTAGCTTCAGTGATCGTAGATTATCCCGGTATCTTCTAAGCTATTCAGCTGCTTGTGCCAGGTCGTATTTTTCCCGTTTGATCTGTACAATGAGAAGGGAAAGATAGGAAAGGATTGACCAAGGTGAACAGTGGGGAAATATGGGTTGACGGAAAGGTGAGCAAATGATACGGCAAACCGAAATGAAAGGGACAAAATGGGATGGCGAGATGGAGTAAAATAGTTAGACAGCTGGGTAAGACTAGGGGATGAATTCGGTAGCGAACTAGTTCAACAGCGAGGTGATATGGAATAAATGGGTCAATTTTTTTTTTTATGGTGGGACAAATTCAATGATAGAATGAAATTAAATGATTGAGTGTAAAATTCCAATTCGGGTTAAACAGGATGAGACTGCTATTCGGCGCTCAGATCATGGGGAAAGATGGAGCAAGTGGTGAACTGAGTAACAGACTAATTAGGCAATGGGGTAAATCGGGCCTAGTAACATAAAAGATATGTCGGAAAAATGAGTTCGTATTTGTGATTAGGATGACGTTTGCACCTATGAAATGAGCCTGATTTTCATGGTTAATTGATTTAGATAGCCACGTATCAATTCTTACTTACGATACTTTCATCATTTAGTTGCTGCTTATTCAATGTTTATCATATTCTCTAACGCATTGGAGAGGCAACAACAACCTCTTTTATGAT